GTTTAGGGTTTAGGATTGAGGGGTTATATGCCAGGGTTCCAGATGTGAAGTTGCTGCTGCACCCCAAACATAAAGCCTAAAAAGTCTAAGCGCCACTCTCCAAAGCCCTAAACCCTAAGCGGAGTTTGTGTCTCTCGTGCAGGAAGTTGGTGGATATGTCTGGTTTCGATGGCTTGGCTTGCAAGCGCATCGCTTTTAATGGGCACATCAACGATGCTGCGCAGGACTGCGTGGTGTCCTTCCCTGGACACTACAGTGATCTCTGGGATCACGCCGTTCAGGCGGCGAAGGTGCAAGATCGCTTCTCACTGGCTTGCGTCTTCCTGACTGACACTGAGCCAGCCAGTACTGTGGATGATATAAATCCTGCATTACTTTAAATAAGGACCCTAAACCATGGGAATTATGGTATATTCCTTAGTATGCGTAACGCAGGATTTATATCATCAACCGTAGTATCCCTTTGCCTTTACCCATTCTGTTTCTGGAGCTCCTTAGCTAAATTGCACATGAGGATCAAGGATATGTAGTTATGATGCCCTTGCAAACCCCTACAAAATCCTCGAAAGACCCATACAACATCCATATGCCTGGCAAGTCAAGGAAAAGGGACGGAGATGTCAGCTTGGGTGTTGGGTTTTGGGGTTTAGGGTTCAGGGTGTAGGGTTTAGGTACCCTAAACCCTTTTTGAATCCCTAGGCCCCGGAACCCCTAAACCCCTAAAGCCCTAAACCCGCAAACCCTAAACCGGGGATCCAAGGACAAAGATTCCGGCTTGGGGAAGCACTCGCGAAACCCAGCGACGGGGAGATGCTGGTGCCACGACATTTATGGCCCGATGGAGGCTTCCATAAGGTTCCGTTTAGGGTTTAGGGGTTTAGGGTTTGGGGGTTTAGGGTTTAGGGTTTAGGGCTTAGGGTTTAGGGTTTAGGGTCTAGGGAGGTCACTGGAAAGACGGCTAGTTACTAGATGATTAGAAGACGGTCATTTGAAGAGGGGATTACTAGAAGAGGGCTCCTAGAGCAAAAACACTAGAAGAGGCTTAATATAGGGGCTTGAATAACTGCTTATACTAATATAATTAAAGTGCAATTTGTCCAAAACCCTTATTCTAACTATTAAGGCCCCTACATCATAAACCCTAAACCCTAAACCCTACACCCTAAACCCTAAACCCTTTTTTGGGGGGAGGGTTGAACATCGGAGGCCTCCAGCTACCTCAGCGTCATCGACCTGAACCCCGAGTCTCGCCGCACTGTTCGGGATCCTGTTCGCGGGTGGAGGGTTTAAGGTTTAGGGTTCAGGGCCTCGGTTTTAAGGTTTAAGGTTTAGGGCCTAGGGTTTAAGGTTTAGGGTTTAGGGCCTCGGTTTTAAGGTTTAAGGTTTAGGGCCTAGGGTTTAAGGTTTAGGGTTTAGGGCCTAGGGTTTAAGGTTTTGGGTTTAGGGCCTAGGGTTTAGGGCTCAGGGTTTAGGGGTGTAGGAGTCTAGGGTTTAGGAGTTTTCGCTTTAAGGTTTAAGGTTTTGGGTTTAGGGTCTAGGGTTTGAGGTTTAGGGTTTAGGGGTTTAGGAGTCTAGGGTTTAGGAGTTTAAGCTTTAAGGTTTCGGGTTTAGGAGTTTAGGGTTTACGGTTCAGGGTTTTGGGTTTAGGAGTTTAGGGTTCAAGGGGGTTTCGGATTTAGGGTTAAGGAATTAAGGTTTAGGGTTCAGGGGTCTAGGGACACTAACCCTAAACCCTAAACCCTAAACTCTAAACCCTAAACCCTAAACCCTAAACCCTAAACCCTAAACCCTAAACCCTAAGCCCGAAGCCCTAACAGGGCTCCCAAGTGTTTGAAACCCAGGAGTCGGGGCAGCCCATCAGCAAGGAGACGCTGGCCTTCGAGAAGGCAGATGCCAGGGCAATGAACAAGGCGCGCTTAGGGTTTAGGGTTTAGGGTTTAGGGTTTAGGGTTTAGGGTTTAGGGTTTAGGGTTTAGGGGTTTGGGTCTAGGGTTTAGGGTTTAGGGTTGTGAAAGGCTTCACAGGGTTCAGTTTTTGTTTTGTATAGGTTTTTGGGTTTAGGTTTTGGGTTCTTTTTAGGATTCAGGGCTTGTACCACGCTCGGCCACCTCATCCCACGCCACAAACCTTGCTTTAGATCCGAAGCCCACAAATTTTGAAACCCTAAACCCCGAAACCCCTGACCCTAAACCCTAAACC